TGACCCTTATTTTCACCCTTGCTACTTTATAATTCTGCACTGTTCCCTGTCCCCTGCTGCACTGTATGACCCTTGTAGGTTTAGTGCTCTGATTATGGGTTTAATGCTTAGTTTTGATTATAATAATTTCCATAATGTAAAAATATTAATGGCCTACAATCATTACAGTGCACCAGCACTGAAAATTCTGAAGCTGATCACATGAAGCCTTTTCAAGATATATAAAAAAAAAGAATTGTTAAACTTTGGAGAAATGATTGTTAGTTTACATTCATGGGAAGGGGATGCTAAACCTGTAGGGGTCACAGCATCTGGAAAATGGCAAGTATTCAAATTCCATCCAAGGAAGAGGAGGACAGGTCCAATTCCACAGATCAAGAGCCTCTGTGGCATCAAGGAACCTCCTTTGCAGGGATTCAGGCAGCACTGTATGACCCTTGTGGGTTTAGCGATTAGTTATGATTATAATAATAATGAAGGGATTCAGAGAAATTAAAAAATAAAATTATAATAAACCAAAAAGACAAAAGTAACCGTTGAGTATACCTAATGATGTATCATCTGGTGACAGGCTCTTGATCCAAGCAATTGGAGGTGTCCTCTACTTGAATCAAACCCGGTTACCTCCCATTATTAAGGTGCTGTATGATCCTAAGAGTTTAGCGCTTTCCTTTGCAGGCGCTACTTTTGCCAAGGAGTGCCGGGGAAGGGCTCATGGTCCAGGGAATTGAAGCAATCCTTCCCTTGTACCCGACCTGATTCCCTTTCCAGGAAATATCCCATCAAGGGAGGTTCCTTGATGCTGGTGAGGGGCTCTTGATCTAGGAAATTGGATCTGTGCTCCAGTTCCCTGAATTAAGCTTGATTGCCTTCCATTATTCCCCTCCGTAGGTTTAGCGCTTCTCTTTGATTATAATAATAATTATAATTACCCCCTCCCTATGGGTTTAGCGCTCCCCATAATAATTTCCAGGAAATAATAATAATCATAACCACTAACATAATCTTAATTCTCTAACAAATAGTTTAATTTCAAAAATTATTCTTGACGCTTTATAATAATTATTATTTAACTGGTAAGGCATTTAGGAAAGCTGTAAATCAGGATTTAATTTGAGAAGCCAATTAGCAGTCACGTTACAAGCCTTTCAGGTGTTCACGCGACTGTCATACTATACGATCACTGTGACTGGTTGTTCTACTTGATGTTTATAAACAGTTTCTATAAATAAACTGAGAGATCTTGAGTGATGTCACTTGGGAGTTGGTCACCATAGCAACCTGCTCTTAAGTCTTGCTGTTGACAACTTGTTAGTTATATTGATGCCAATAGATGGCGTTGAATATTTATTGTATACAGAAAATGTCAAACAGCAAGTCAGTAAATAAGAGAGGGTTACTGAGGTGAATAATTTAGTATTTGGTGTGTAAACTTTGTGTTTCACATTTTCTGTACACAATAAAATATTCAACGCCATCTATTGGCATCAATATAACTACAAGTTGTCAACAGCAAGTCATAAGAGCAGGTTGCTATGGTGACCAACTCCTAAGTGATGTCACTCAAGATCTCGTAGTTCATTGGTAGAAACTATTTATAAACATCAAGTAAAACAACCAATCACAGTGATCGTACAGTATGACAGTCCCTTGAATACCTGAAGGACTTGTAACGTGACTGCTAATTGGTTGTTTTTAGTAATGTAAACATCAGAAACAAGTGTAGTATATGAACAAGAAAGATTATCACAAAATTTCTTTATATATTGCTTTTAAATTTATTCTTTTCAACAATCAACTAATAAATTACTGAATCTTGTTAATCAATAAGAATAAATAATGTATTTCAAGTGAGTTTTCCTTTATGTTAATTATGAAGTAAGAAATATAGAAAGATTAGTAAAGAACAGAATATCGGGAAGTAATGAGGTTTGTTTCAAGGTAGAGAAGGGCAGCTCGAATTCTTTGGATCACGAGCCCTTCAACATTATCAAGACAACCCCCTTGTTAAACGGCCTTAAAATGGATGCCTTTTAGGCAGGGAAGGGATCTTGATCCAAGGAATTCTTCCAATCCTCCCCTACCTTGGATTGAATCTGATTATGACTTATTATTCTCGAGGTTCTGTATGACCCATATGAATTAAGCTTTTCAGAGATAATAATAATAATAATAATAATAATAAAATAATAATAATAATAATAATAATAATAATAATAATAATACAATAATAATAATAATGCCATTAGGCATGATCTTTATTCTATAATTTATTGAATGTTGTCCCACAAACTATTCTTAGCATTTTTGGTTCATGATAAATACAAATGAACACGATTTTTCATATCTTCATTTAGTTAGCAAAGAGCTAAAGTGAGTAACCAATTAACAACCACGTTACAAGTCTTTCAGGTATTCACGAGACTCATACTTTACGACCACTATGATTGGTTGTTCTACTTGATGTATATAAATAGTTTCTACCAATAAACTACGAGATCTTGAGTGACGTCACTTGGGAGTTGGTCACCATAGCAACCTGTTCTTATGACTTGCTGTTGACAACTTGTTAGTTATATTGATGCCAATAGATGGCGTTGAATATTTATTTATTGTATACAGAAAATGTCAAACAGCAAGTCAATAAAATATTTCTGTATACAAAATATTCAACGCCATCTATTGGCATTAATATAACAACAAATTGTCAACAGCAAGTCATAAGTGCAGGTTGCTATGGTGACCAACTCCCAAGTGACGTCACTCAAGATCTCTCAGTTCATTGGTAGAAACTATGTATTTACATGAGGCAGAAGAGCCAATCACGGTGATTGTAAAGTATGACAGTCGCGTGAATACCTGAAAGCTTTGGAACGTGACTGCTGATTGGTTGTTTTGGAAAATGGGGTATTAAGGGCGGCGGAGATTATCATCATAACTTTTGCTATATTATATCACATAAATGTTAAACCTAAAACCCAATCTAACTTTATTATTTTTTAAATACACTACCTAACAGAATACTCCATTCTACTGAATGTACAGCAATGCAAGCAACCATATGACCTGTCTTTGTAATACTCATTTGTGCTTTATAGTTATCTGTTTACAATAATGTTTTATCACTGATTACATCATTGCTTAGTTAATCTTAAGTTAATTTTAAGCCAGCCCGTAATGCTATGCATATAAGTGGCTTTGGCATGCTGCTCTTACCTGTATTTTTTTGTACCTCTGTATGTATGCTCAAATTACTAAATAAATAAATAAATAAATAAATAAAAGACGATCAACCAATAAGAGTAAATAATCTATTAGATATTTCACTTTTTTCATCAAAAGCCCTTCATTATTATTATAATCATGGGGGAGCGCTAAACCCATAGGGATTATACAGCGCCTGTCGGGGGGAGGGGAATGGAAGGTATTCAAACTCAATTCAGGAACCGGAGCACAGATCCAATTTCCTAGATCAAGAGCCCCTCACCAGCGTCAAGGTACCTCCCTTGAGGGGACAAAGAGCCCTTCAGCATCAAGGCAATAACCTTTTTTAAAGATCTACGAGCTGTGCCTTGGTGCCAGGAAGTGCTCTTGATTTCATAATTTGGTGCAAGCCTTTCCCTCTGTGAACTGAATTCTATTCCTTAAGTACTAGATGACCCCTAAGTGTTTAGTACATCTATTTTGATACTATCAGCAAGCTATAGAGGTCATTTAGTGCCTAGCAAATGTGTTATAATCAGGTATGATCCAAGGAGAGGGAGGATAGCGTCAGTTCCTTGGCACAACAGCTCTTCACTTACATCAGTTATATTATTTAGGAAGTGTTAAATCCGAAGACTTCATTTAGCACCTAGAGAATGGGAGGCAATCTAGTTAGATCCAAGGAAGGGGAGAGAGCAGGTCCCCTGATACTAAACAGCTTTTGATCCAAGAAATTGAAGCCATCCTCCCCTTCCATGGAACAGCCATTGTTTCCTCAGGTACTTTACAACTCACAGGGGTGTGGCACTTCCCATGAATGGGCCGCCATGTTACACCCAGTCAAGAAAGTAATTATGACACACATAGAGGGTGGGGAGAAGCGCTAAGCCCGTAGGAGTCATCCAACACCTGTGAGGCAATCAGGTTGCATCACATAGATCATAGGTTCAATTCTTTGCATCAAAGGACCTCAATTGATGAGTAATATTATAATCAAAACTGAGCACTAAACCCACAAGGGTTGAACAATAATATAATTCATATAAGTACTAAACCTGTAAGGGTTAATGAGAGTAACTCATGATAATAAAATCTCAGGCAGAAAGCACTGTTTGTGTCTGGTAATACAAAATATGGCTGGCATATAACAATATTGATGGAAAAGCTCTAAACCCAGAGGGTTATTATTATAATCATGTGGGAGCGCTAAACCCTTAGGATTATACAACGCATGTGGGGGGGGAGGGATGGAAGGTATTCAGGCTCAATTCAGGGAACTGGAGCACAAATCCAATTCCCTAGATCAAGAGCCCCTCACCAGCGTCAATGAACCTCCCTTGAGGGGTAAACCCAGAGGGATCAATGCTTAACCTATATAGCATTAAACATTCATAGTAGGCACTAAACCCACAGGGGTTATACAGCATCTGGAAAAATGACTTACAATGATCGTATAGCACTTGGGGAATGAGATCTTAACTGATTCTTCAGCCTTTGAATTATTATAATAATCACAGGGAAGCACTAAACCCATAGGATTATACAGCACATATGAGGGGGGTGGAAGGTATTAGGCTCAATTCAGGATTATTATTATTATAATCAAAAAAGAAGCGCTAAGGGAACTGGAGCACAGATCCAATTCCCTAGATCAAGAGCCCCTCACCAGCATCAAGGAACCTCCCTTGAGGGATCAGCCTCTGAAGAGGGGTCTCTTGATCCAAGGAACTGGAGCTATCCTTCCCTTTGGATCTAACCTTATTACCTCATTCTCCAGGAACAGTAAATTAAATAGGTTTACCATTTAATTAAAATGTTTATTGTCCACATACAGCATTTTCAGTTACCACTCAGAATGAAATATAAATTAGTATGCAAAGATGTATTACATCACACTAAGTATATCTTATGAAAGTACTATACCAGTAATAAATATATATCATATATACCATATGAAGAGCACAGTACCAGTAAAACTGGTCAGCATGCACCACTTACCCCCACAAGCCTTCCATTATGACAGTACTGTATCAAAATAAACAGGTACTCTCATGACCCAAATGGATTTAGAGCAGGGGCAGTAATCTGTGGAGCTTTTTAACAGATACAAATATCAGTTACCACTCCAACTGCAACAATACTCGGAAGATGGAGGCAGATTTCTGGATATTTTTTAACCTTTTATATTTCTTTTTAACAAATAACTTTATCATGCCTCACGCTGCATGACTAAGGATCAACATTGTACTGTCTAAGCGTAATTCTGCATACGTACATGGGCAATAAATACGTAACTACTTTTCCTTATGTTGTAATTAAAAATGAAGGCTGAATAACCTCAGCATTAACCAAATCATTATACAATTATCTATTTCACAAAATTTTATCTAAAATCTCAAAGAAAATGAGAATTGCATTCATATTAGAATAAGGTACATATTACAGTATTAACCACAAATCTATTATAGTTGGATCCAGAAAAGTGCAATCAACAGAAATACAAAACAGTTATACAAAACAAAATGTACACTCGAATGCAGCAGGGAGGAAGGAAGGGCAACTCTCTGCTTCAGTCACAAAAGTCTAGAAAATATGGTGAACTTTCAGATCATATGTTTGTTTCTACAGGTTCAGATACCCTCAGCCCATGGAGAAAGCCTGTACGTATCCAAGTTCCTCGAGGAGCCAGGCAAAAAGACTCTTCAAACTCCTGGTTGTATTCAAGAAGGTGCTGGACAGGTACCCAAAGTCAGTACTAACCAGCTGGGCTGTGGTTCGTACGTCAGTTTGTGTTAAGCTAACAGAAAAAGCCTGGTTGATCAGGCCGATCCAGTGAGACCTGGTCACAGACCACACCGCAGGGGCGTTGACCCCTGAAACCCTCTCCAAATATACTCCAGGGTAACTAAGGATCCCAGGACAGCTAGTTTTCTGTTCGAGCAACTCAATGCTACAGGTCAGAGGGGTAATTGTTGTATTCTGGGTATGTGCACTGGAACTATGTACTTGTAGTGTATCCCTCAGACTTCATGTACTGTATACTCCATATCTATCTTTCAAGCCTTATGTGCCATATTACATAATATTTGTGAAAATATAAAAGATAGGGTGGTAGAAGTGGAATATTCAAATAACATCAAAAAGAAATCCTAATACTATTCTTTTTATACAACACTGATTGATGTTATATTATTTTTGATACACTATACAATTGTACAAAGGATATCAAACATTAATTTTCTTTAATTTCTAGAGATTTTTGCAAATAAAATGCAGAATTATTCATGGAAATAACGGTAATTTTTAAACCTTAAACCAACAAAGACAATACCAAGGTATTGGGTACCGGCAAGGACAAAAATTAATGCCGGTAAATTCTCGCAACCAATTCATCTCTTACGACACACCATTATTATTATTATTATAATAAAAAAGAAGCGCTAAGCCACAAGGGCTATACAGCATTACGACACACGTTCAGTCCTGTGAATGCCTACACTAATAAGCAAAACTAAGTTTGCTTACCAAGTCAATTTTAAATTTCTAAACTCTGGGATCAGGTGATAAGGCTAAAGAGACTAAATGTCAATCGAGGTTTTGCATTTGACGTCACAGGTTACCTGTTGGATATAATGGATGTGGAGCTGCTTTAACAGCCATGTATATACATACTGCATATGTGTGTGTGTGAGAGAGTTCTCTCATCTTTCTAGACCAGTACAATGGTTATTGCTTGTGTTGTTAGATGTAATTAGCAAGATGGTAAGCCAAATTTAATATTCTATGTTACTAAACAATTTTGAGGGATAAAAATGAAGGGTTTATGCCAGGAAGCAAAAAGACTTGGAACCAACAGAAACATTCCTTTCAAATTAGGTGCCTTCATGCTGGTGAAAGGCTCCTGATCCAAAGATTTGGATCTACTCCTCCTTACCTCAGAATACATCTGATTACTTCCCATTTACAGGTGCTGTATCACCCCTGTAGATTTAACATGAATATGTAGTATAATAATAATAACAATAGTTATACATATTCACAAGGAAGTGATAAATCTGTATGGGTCAAACAGTGCTTGCAGAATTGAAGGTAATTAGATTAAATCTGTGAATAGGAGGATGAGCACAAATTCCTTGGATCAAGAGCTCTTCACTAGTACACCAAGTGAAGACAACAAGCAGTTAGTTCTCAGCAGGAATATTCCAGGTTGTCATGATAACATGTCACATATTTTTTTATATACATAATCCCTTCAAGGAGGGGGAGTAAATGGCTATTGATCCAAGGACTTGGAGCTACTCTCCTCAAATCAAACCTGATCACCTCCCATTCCCGAGGTGCAGTATGGTCGCTATGGGTCTCACACTTTCCCACAAATTTAAAAGTAATAAAAAACAGAACACAGTTGTATCTGTAGCAAACATTATTAAATTTTAAGTGACTATAATTATTTTATCACATGTTGATAATAAATGTAGCTTAAGGCAGGTGATGTATGGATGGATAATTATTCATAGGTGTATACACTGGTGGATACTTTGCAAATACAGTGGACCCCCGGTTTACGATCAGCTCCCACTGCGACCAATTATGTAAGTGTATTTATGTAAGTGCATTTGTATGTGTATGTTTGGGGGTCTGAAATGGACTTATCTAATTCACAATATTCCTTATGGGAACAAATTCGTTCAGTAATGGCACCTGAACATGCTTCTGGAATGAAATAATATCGTAAACCGTGGGTCCACTGTATATATAATTATGAGACAGCACTGTGCAGCCGTGGGTAGTTATAGTAAGGCAGTGCACTGACAAGTGCTGAAAAAAAAATAAACACACATACACAGGAAAAGCAGACCTTTTATTAAATGCAATATTCCATCTATAACAGGCCTCCTTATAGGCAAGTTGTATTAAATAAAAAGGCTTCCTTTGCTGTGAACACTGTATATGTTTTTCCTGCCAGCCCTGCACTGGTACTCACCACTAACAGACTTCATACTCAGCTCCAACAAAACAGACACATACCAAAGCTAATGTAGGCTTTCACATTCTTTCTGGTATAAAGGTGCAGTTCACCACATGACAGGCAGTAAATCACAAGTTTATTGTGTGTTATAAATAAATGTTCACATGATGTCGTCTTGAATATGAATGACTACTAAATTAGCCAATTTAGTAACATGACAGCAAAACCTCGATACCCAGCCTATCCTCTAAGGTAAACACTGTACACTAAAATGTAGACATGATTATCTGATACTGTACCTTATATGGCTCACTTGGTAGATCCTCTATTCAAACAGGTAATCTCTTATGCCTTTATGTACTGGCCCATTTATTTATTAGCATCAAGACAGGTTGCAATACCATGACTGGAACAGTTTTTTGTCATGTTAGTGGCCAATGTCATACAACAGCTGACCTTTCTCCAAAATTAGCTATCCCTCCCAAGCCTTCACAGATACTGTCTTGTTGAATCAGTCCTTATACACAACATATCTCTGAATTTTGGCCCCAATTTTGTTTCTGTAGATGCTTACCACTGCCAGTAAAATACATTGTAAAATGCTCTCTTCTTAAAAATGTGTGATTTTACTTATCTTAACCGTCTCATCTTTCTATCCAGACCTGAATTATTTGCTCTTTTCCCATATCTTTTTCACTCGCCTCTGGACAATGACCCAGAATGAACCTGAAATGTCACCTACCTTCCATTCCAAATTTTTGGGTTAGTGTATTAAGAGATTCAGGGAAACCGGCTAACCAGACCTGAGTGATGGAGGTGGGAAGCAGTGCTTGTACTCTGAAGGAAGGGTGGAGATATTGCAATCTGGAGGGTTATCAGAGCTGTGATGTCGATGCGCCTCTGGCAAGACGATGGTAATGGAGTGAGACATGGTAAGTGTTTCTTCATTTTCAGGTTGCCCTACCTTGGTAGAAGTTGGCCAGTGTGTTAAAAGGAAATTCTTATTCTTGTAAAATTTCCTTTCAAATTTAGGAAATTTTGTCTAAGACCAGACTATCGGGGAGAATAGCCATCCCTGGATCCATTATATAGCAGAGATGTATATACATGTAATCAAAAACCTATATATACCTTATGATATATATGGATATACTCATTCACCCAGGAGTGATTGTGACCCTACCCAAATTATTAACTGTGAAACCTGTAAAGTTTTAAGGATTAAAAAAAGATACAATACCATATTCAAAAGCAAATAAATTCATCTTAAAAAAGACTCACAAATTGTGTAAATTTATAGAAGCTATTATTTGAACACTCAAAACCAATAACTTGTTTAATTTAGATAAGTTTTTTGAAAATGCGTAGTCATCATCTATTGCAGGAGGACTGCAATGTCCTTGATGGTAGTCCTTAACCCTTTCAGGGTCCGTGCCGAAGATCTACGGCTTTACGTTCAGGGTCCAAACCGTAGATCTACGCCATAAGCTCAGCTCACTCTGATAAGCTGTGAGTGGTAAATCTGGGCCTAGATATGAGAGAATACATCTGTGGTATGTGTGCACCACATAAAACAAATCCTGCAGCACAGTGTATAATGAGAGAAAAAAGCCGAGACCGTGATTTTCGATTAAAACTGACTTTGCAGTGTTTTTTCATGTTTTTTATAGTTGTATTTGCGATTTCTTGGTCTCATTTGATAGAATGGAAGACATATTACAGAAATACAGATGATTTTGATTGATTTTAGCACTAGAAATGCCTTGAAACTGAGCTCAAAGTAGCAGAATGTTAAATTTTTGCCGATGTTCAAGAGTAAACAAACGACCTCACACGTCTAATACACGCCAGCTGGTGGGTCTAATATACATTCACAAATGTGGTGATGATATTTATACAATTATTACAATACTGCATAACAGTAAATCTTCCATTTTTTTGGCTTGAATAAAAATTCATTATGTGAATAAAAAATCCAAATGGAATTCATTTGTAAAGCCTCAAAACATAACTAATGAACAGAGGAAATGTTAGTTTAGTGCCAGGAAAACCTACATTGTTTATTCTGGACCCTATTTTGAAATCAGAATACGTATTTTGAACTTTGTGTTAAATTGGCCAAATTACCAATTTCCAATCACTTTATTTTGTAGTTGAAACAGTTGACTTGGCGATTTCTTGTCCTCAATCGATAGAAGTAATACTAGTGAAATAGCTAAGAATTTGGTCGACAGGAATAATGTAATTGGCCTAAAATGGGAGTCAAAGTTGGCAAAATCGCTGATTTGTAAATATCGCTGACACATCAAAATTTGCGAGCATAGTTTTGTCAATTTTCCATCAAATTTCGTACTTTTTGCTTTATTACCTTCAGAAAAAGATTCTCTACCATTTCATAAGAAAAATAACAAATTTTTTTTTTGTTTAATTCTTAGACTTTGGTGTACACTTTGAAATTTGGCCTCTGGACCCTGAAATGGTTAAATTGACTACTGTATAACATTAGTCAGAGTAATATTATGCATTTCATTATAAAAACATCAAGACAATGCTTTAATTCAGAGTCCTTAGCTTGACTCGATCATTACAAACTATATATTTGTCATTTCGTGTTTCCAATTTTTTTTTCAGGATAGCAGCTACTTCATTTTCCGATTTCACATGAGTTGTGTCACTGTTGGCTGTATAATAGAGAGAGAGTACTTTCCTCTGCAGTTTGGTGATTTTCATGCCCTTTTCTGGGGCATCTTCCAATATCTGAGAGATTGCCATCTTCCACTTGAAAATACCTGAAGGCTTTGCTATACTCTCTAGTTTATTAGAATTTTCATCTTCTCCATTTTGAATGTGATCTCCATTGAGTGTGGAAACTTCATTTTCATCATTATCTGCTTGTTTCCTTTTTTTCTTCTTCTTTTCTTGAGTATCTTGAGATGCTGAATCCATTGCCTTTTTTCTTTTTCTGCCTTCTCCTTCTTCCAAAGCTTCATCATCCTCAGATTTCCTTTTCGATGGTTTACTCGCTTCTTCGGTACTCTCTACAGATTTATCCTTCTTTTGTTTCTTTTTCTGCTTTTTTTGTCTTTCCATCTTTTTCTCTCTTTTGTTTAGCTTGCTGTTACCATTGCAATCCACTGTAGAGGGATCAGGGTTATCATTGTTCTGTGGTGCAGTTGTAGAAGGTTCCTCAACTTCCTGGTCCTTACCATTGTGACTCTGGATGTTGTTCGCAGACTGGAATACTTCCCAAGCTTTATCCACGAGGATGCCACTACGGATCTTGGCGCTGTTGAACAGGAACTTCTGAAACACCAAAATTGAACATATTATCACTGTCTTAGACAGGGATGTGTAATGTCACCATGGTTGTTTAATATATTTATAGATGGGCTTGTAAAAGAAGTAAATGCTAGGGTGTTCGGGAGAGGGGTGGGATTAAATTACGGGGAATTAAATACAAAATGGAAAGTGACACAGTTACTTCTTGCTGATGATACTGTGCTAATGGGAGATTCTAAAGAAAAATTGCAAAGGTTAGTGGACGAATTTGGGAATGTGTGTAAAGGTAGAGAGTTGAAAGCGAACATAGAAAAAAGTAAGGTGATGAGAGTATCAAATGGCTTAGATAAAGAAAAATTGGATATCAAATTAGAAAGGAGGAGTATGGAAGAAGTGAATGTTTTCAGATATTTGGGAGTTGACATGTCAGCAGATGGATTTATGAAGGATGAGGTTAATCATAGAATTGATGAAGGAAAAAAGGTGAGTGGTGCATTGAGGTATATGTGGAGGCAAATAATGTTATCTACTGAGGCAAAGAAGGGAATGTATGAAAGTAAAGTAGTACCAACACTCTTATGTGGACATGAAGCTTGGGTTGTAAATGCTGCAGCGAGGCAGTAGTTGGAGACAGTGGAGATGTCCTGTCTAAGAGCAATGTGTGGTGTAAATATTATGCAGAAAATTCAGAGTGTGGAAATTAGTTGAAGGTGTGGAGTTAATAAAAGTATTAGTCAGAGGGCTGAAGAGGGGTTGTTGAGGTGGTTTGGTCATTTAGAGAGAATGGATCAAAGTAGATTGACATGGAGAGCATATAAATCTGTAGGGAAAGGAAGGCGAGGTAGGGGGCGTCCTCGAAAAGGTTGGAGAGAGGGGGTAAAGGAGGTGTTGTGGACGAGGGGTTTGGACTTCCAGCAAGCATGCGCGAGCGTGTTAGATAGGAGTGAATGGAGACAAATGGTATTTGGGACCTGACGATCTGTTGCAGTGTGAGCAGCGTAATATTTAGTGAAGGGATTCAGGGAAACCGGTTATTTTATATAACCGGACTTGAGTCCTGGAAATGGGAAGTACAATGCCCACACTCTAAAGGAGGGGTTTGGGATATTGGCAGCTTGGAGAGATATATTGTGTATTTTTATACGTATATACTTCTAAACTGTTGTATTCGGGGCACCTCTGCAAAAACAGTGATTGGTGGGTTTGGGTGAAAATTTTTGAATGATGATGAAAGTTTTTTCTTTTTGGGATTTTCTTCTCTTTGGTTCACCCCCCTCGGGGGGAGACAGCCGACTGTTGAAAAAAAAAAAAAAAAAAAAAAAAATGGACCCCCACATAACGACACCCCCAAATCCCCCCCAATTATGAAGTGTATTTAGTAAGTGTGTTTGTACCGTAGTTTGGGGGGTCTAAAAGGGGACTAATTCTTCACAATATTCCTTATGGGAACAAATTCAGTCAGTACTGGCACCTGAACATACTTCTGGAGTGAAAAAATATCGTTAACCGGGGGTCCACTGTATATATCTACATCTTTCTTTCTTTCTTTCAACACACTGCCCGTATCCCACCGAGGCAGGGTGGCCCAAAAGGAAAAACGAAAGTTTCTCCTTTTACATTTAGTAATATATACAGGAGAAGGGGTTACAAGCCCCTTGCTCCTGGCATTTTAGTCGCCTCTTACAACATGCATGGCTTACGGAGGAAGAATTCTGTTCCACTTCCCCATGGAAGTAAGAGGAAATAAACAAGAACAAGAACTAGAAAGAAAATAGAAGAAAACCCGAAGGGGTGTGTATATATATGCTTGTACATGTATGTGTAGTGTGACCTAAGTGTATGTAGAAGTAGCAAGATGTACTTGAAATCTTGCATGTGTATGAGACAGAAAAAAGGACACCAGCAATCCTACCATCATGTAAAACAATTACAGGCTTTCGTTTTACACTCACTTGGCAGGACAGTAGTACCTCCCTGGATGGTTGCTGTCTACCAACCTACTACCTAGGATATATCTACATATGTACATTAAAACATACTTTGGAAAATATTAATCCTGTAAACTGTAGCTGGTAGGTGAAACAAAAACAAAGTTCCGTATTAAATTACGACGAACACTAAAATAAACATGCAGAATTACTTAATAGTATAGGTTTTATGTAATTTTATATCTACAAAAGTAATACACCTACCATCCGACGTACGACCAAGTTCAGTTCCGAGAAACCGGTCATAAGTCGAAATGGTCGTAAGTCGAACTTTACTACTGAATATCAACAAAAGATTTTTGTAATGACTTTATTTTATTGTTTTGTTTTGGTATTTCATGTTTTACTTTACTTTTTATGCTGTTAGTACTGTATTTTATACTGTAAGGTTTAGGATAAACACTGTGTACAACACAAATAGTTGTTTATTTCCCAGAAATTTGGCATAAAAAACATGGTCGTAAGTCGAGTGGTCGTAAGTCGAGTGGTCGTAAGTCGAGCAGGTCGTAAGTCGGATGGTAGGTGTACATACTTTTTTATCTCACTAAATTTAAGACAGTGGAGGAGCACTAATTTATCCTGTAGCTGTGAAGCGCATGCAAAGAATAATATCAAGCTCTAACGAATGAAGTGGACAGGATTCTAACCCATGGCAGGCTAGACCTAAAATTAGCACTCAAGCGACCTAGGATGAATCTTATTAGGCCAGCACAGTGGAGTCTTTAGGGCACTAGCCTGTCAATTTTAGGACTAGCTTGCCATGGATTTGAATCTTGTCCATTCAGTGAGCTCTTTACAATAGTGTCATTATAATTTCGTGAATCAAAGCTCTAATGTTAGATGCTGAAAAAATAATTCAATGTTAACTAAAAAATATCAAGAATATTTTTATTTTTCATTTACAGTCTTCACTATAAAGCAGCTTTAAATATAATATTTAGCCATTTGTACTGGTCACATTTTCCTAATATAAATGGCTTAAATTGTTTCATTACTTATTTATCTTTTTTCATAGACATAAATCCAGTATAACATGAATCTTTATTGACGATGTTTCACCCCACACAGTGGGTTTTATCAAGTCACAAACAGACTGTTTGTGACTTGATAAAACCCACTATGTGGGGTAAAACAGCGTCAATAACAAATTGCATTATACTGTATTTGTGTTCACTTTTCCATCTTGTTGGTATTTTGTACTATTCATCTCTATCTTCATTTGTTGCAAACTACATGTATAAAGATGGTAAATCTAAACCAAAATGGATTTATCAGTGTATATACACAATAAATTTATTCCTTATTTGTGGTCACATTGGCAGGAAATGCTAACCTCCCCAGTTTGATGAATCTTACTGTAACCAGCCGGCCCAGTTGCTTATGCATTGGCCTGGAGATTTATGACTCACTCGCCATGGATTCTAACCCCACCTGTACCGTGGTTTGTTTACAATCTTGTTTTTATGATTTCATGAGTCACTTCTCATACATACTGTCTCATACAAGTAGGACTTTTGACTGTGCTGATGAGTGTTTAAGAGTCATCAATAGAAATACTGTAGAGCTGGTCATGGACCGGGCCGCTGGGGCGTTGACCCCTGGAACACCCTTCAGGTATACTCCTTCCATGGTTTATAATGGAGAAACTTTCATCCCTTTCTTACCTCAAATTTTGACTTCTTGCGAGGAATGTTTGTAAAGGTAGTGATGTGGTCAAGGAGTTCCTTGAGACGTGGCTCCATGTTGTGTGTCTTGGCCACTTGCTCTCTGACTTTTGCTATCCATGCTTCCTGTTTCTTCTCGCCCTTCAACTCTTTGGCCACATACTGGCTCCCACCATACTTCTCAGCTTCAGTTATACATTTCAAATGACTTGCATACTCCTGTTCCCTATGGGCATAAATGTATGGCATTTTAAATGAAGACAATGGCAAAAATTTGCTGACTAATTCTTGTTTAGAATATCAGCCATTTCCCACCAGGAAAGGAAGAGCCAAAAAAGGAAACACGTTCACCAGTGTTCAATCAAAAGCTGCCTGTCCACAAATATGTAGACATCACAATTCATATGAACCTTTGAACTGCTCTATTCCCACCCATCTTTCAGAGTATAGGCTCTGTAATCACTCCCAAAACTCAAGTCTGGACAACCAGTTTTCCTAGATCCCTTCACACAAATTATACTCTATAGCATGAGTCAGCAATCCCTGATCCACAGGGCACATTTGGCCCGCGTGAGGTTTCTGTCCGGCCCGCCAACTTAACTACTAATTATCTAATTAGTATGGAATATATATGCAGTAGTTCACTTCAAGGTTAAGCAGTCCCTACAAAAGTTACTTTGTATCCTCCCTCCTTAGAGTTTTTCATTTGAGTTTGTTGTCTGGTGGTAAAATAACTGTACAGTAGGTATCTGCATTCAGTAATACACATGTAATGTTTATTTAATTATTTGTCATAAACTGTGTTAAGTATTACTAGAATTAGGCCAAAATTGGTTTAAAAAACTAATGGCAACCCTGAGTTCAAGAAAAAAAATTTATATTACATTTAATAACAAGGTCTTCCTCCGAGAGATTGCACAGCTGTCTCTCCCTCTCTCTCCAAAAGGTTGCGGACCCCTGCTCTACAGCATGTCAAATAAAAAAAATACTCACTTCAATCAAGTACACCCATGTGCATGTTGGATATTTAATATTGTAACTCCTTCCAGTCCTTCCCTGCATGTCCCCTACACTACTTTACAGTCATTCCAGGTTTACACATCATCTTAATCAACCTACTTATCCCAGTCTATATAAATGACCAAACTTTCTTAGCAACCCTTTCTATGCTCTCTGAATTATATCTCGTATACTACCACAAATCTTCTAATCTCTATTTATTCTCTGCACAATATTCACATTACACACTGATCTCAGACATAACATTTCCACTACCTCCGGCCTCCACTTATGCTTCACACTTTACAAAAATGTTGCCACCATTATACAGTCCCTCTTCTTTTTACATATAACAGCATATTCCCTTCTATTAATCATCACTAATATACAATACATGTAGTAGCACCACAGCAGTACAGATAAGCACTGTATCTAAACAATAAATACAGTGCAAGATTCGTTTAACAAGTAATGCTGGTTATCTGCACTTTCTATGTACAATATACAAAAGTGGACACTAGACAGAAGACTCAGTTGTTTAAAGAGTGAAAGGAAATTTAAAGAGCTGATCATTTACCAGATTACTGTTTATAGTGTTGTTAGGTAAGACACATATGCAACAGTTAGGTATCTTTATTATGAAACGTTTCGCCTACACAGTAGGCTTCTTTAGTCAAGTACAGAAAAGTTGATAGAAGCAGAAGATACTTGAAGACGATGTAATCAGTCCATCACCCTTAAAGTTTTGAGGTGGTCAGTCCCTCAGTCTGGAGAAGAGCATTGTTCCATAGTATGAAACAATATGGAGAAGAAGTGACAGGATGGAGCTTTTTATAGCACCAAGAGGTGAGACGTAGGCCACTAGGAGAGGTAAGAACTCAGATGTTGAGAAGTCAGGTCCCTCTCAAATCCAGCCCCTCTCACTAGTGGAAGTTGTCGAAGTTGATTGCAGGTCTGTACCAAGATACCCTTGTGTTGCAGTGTCTGACAGATTGAACATTAAAATGGTATAAAATACCGACAGGTTGTTAGGTAAGACACATGCAACAGTTAGGTATCTTTATTATGAAACGTTTCGCCTACACAGTAGGCTTCTTCAGTCAAGTACAGAAAAGTTGATAGAAGCAGAAGATACTTGAAGACGATGTAATCAGTCCATCACCCTTAAAGTTTTGAGGTGGTCAGTCCCTCAGTCTGGAGAAGAGCATTGTTCCATAGTTTCATACTATGGAATACTGCTTCTATCAACTTTTCTGTACTTGACTGAAGAAGCCTACTGTGTAGGCGAAACGTTTCATAATAAAGATACCTAACTGTTGCATATGTGTCTTACCTAACAACCTGTCGGTATTTTATACCATTTTAATGTTCACTGTTTATAGTGTACTAATTTTCTGGACAACTGACCCTTCTAAACACCTAGTCAATGGAATAAGGACAAATATAATAAAGGGCAAACATAAGAAGGCTGGAAAGCATGCCACTATGAAGCATATACAAATATATTATACAGTATATGTAGTGTATAAATTCTCACAAGAAAACAATACATGTTGATTCTAGGTTTCATTTCTATTTCAAAATCTCAGGGATATCCCGGGCATCTTGGAATAAAGATGATATCTTGGATTAACTCTATCCTTGTAGTGCAACATGAGATATGATCACTTGTTAACTGCCTAGCATGTAAAAGCTGCAAATAGATGCAATACAATATCATGTATCATAAACATAAAACCTAAAACTAACCAACAACATTTTAATTACAATAAAATGAAAAAGTCACTCAGCAATACAGTACATATACCCAAAATAAATACTTATACACACTTAAGGCAGGTTAGCTATGCTACACCACATTAAAAGCTGTCAATATAAAACTATTTGAACACTATTAAAATAAACATTAAACACCCCATGTATGATTAGCATTACTAACCTAAATGTTTTGCCACAGTCCATACATGAGACGGTTCTACTGAAGCATCTTCTATTCCAGTGAGTATCCACTTGGTTCTTCTTCAGACATGCTCCACATGAGTCACACACAAAGACCACCATGTTCTCCAACACTGTCCAATCTGAAATATATTCTTGGTATTAATGGTGTGAATAAAGATGAGTGAATATACGAACTCATTCAAGGGCTATGCTCTAACCCATACAAGTAAAATGCTGTCATATACATAAAGCAAAACTGTGGGATGCCATTTAAAAAACTGCAAAAAAGATCTTATTTCTACCCACACTAGTTAACCCTTTCACTGTCTCTCACGTAGATCTACATCACCGACATCAGTATTGCTCATGGTAGGTCTATATTTTGAGCTCGGCTCCTTCAAATAAGCCGAGAGTGGTAAATTTTGGCCTAGACATGAGAGAACAGGTCTGTGCAGTGAGTGTGCAATGTATAAAAAATCCTGCTTCATGCAGTGCATGAACTTGTACAGTGGACCCCCGGTTAACGATTTTAATCCGTGCAAGAGGGCTCATCGTTATGCGAAATAATCGTTATGCGAATGAATTTTCCCCATAAGAAATAATGGAAATAAAATTAATCCGTGCAAGACGCCCAAAAGTATGAAAAAAATTTTTTTTTACCACATGAAATGTTAATTTTAATACACACAAACTGAAAAAGGCATGCACAATTACATGACACTTACTTTTATTGAAGATCTGGTGATGATTGATGGGATGGGAGGAGGGGAGAGCATTATCTTCTTACTGTTTAGAAGGGGAATCCCCTTCCATTAGGACTTGAGGTAGCAAGTCCTTTTCTGGGGTTACTTCCCTTCTTCTTTTATGCCACTAGGACCAGCTTGAGAGTCACTGGACCTCTGTCGCACAACAAATCTGTCCATAGAGCTCTGTACCCTCCCGTTCCTTCAAGACTTTCCTAAAATGGGCCATAACATTGTCATTGAAATAGTCACAAGCACGGCTTGACAACAACGCTGTGTCAGGGTGATTTTCATCTATAAAGGTTTGCAGTTCAACCCACTCTGCACACATTTCCTTAATCTTTGAAGTAGGCACAATGGATTCCACAACTGGCATAGGCTTCTCAGGGTTAGCCCCAAACCCTTCAAAATCTTTCTTAATTTCCATACTAATTCTCACCCTTTTTACCACAGGGTTGGCACTAGAAGCTTTCTTGGGGCCCATGGTCACTTATTTTCCAGAAACAGCACCGAAAATACTGTAATAATACGAAATATTCCGAGTGTATGCTTGGATGTTACCGCGGAGGCTGGCTGGTAAACAATGGGACGGAGCGGCACATGTGAGGCTGGCTGAGGGCACATTGGACGCGTCTCGGACGAAAATCGGTATGCGGGTTTTTAATCGGTATGCGCGGCAAAAATTTTGCGATAAAAGTAATCGTTATGCGGAAAAATCGCTATGCGATGCCATCGTTATGCGGGGGTCCACTGTATTTAGTTTCAAATAGTAATTTTGAGGTATTTTATAGGATGTTTGTTTTTATAGTTTCATTGACTGTTTCTTGGTAAAAACTAATAAAATAGAAGACATACTGTTGAAGTACAGATGATTTTGTTTGGTTTCAGACTGGAAGCAGCTTGAAAAGGGCCACAAACTGGTAGAAATATTTGACTTTTTAGCAATTTTCCTAAAGAAGGGTAGTGTAGTTCTGATAGATGAATGGGCTGTTTCTGATGATCACTCTAAAGAACAAAAGTTATAATACCAAAATAGCTAGCTGAAGTGAACATTGCAACTGGCTTAAAATAGGACTCGGGCAACGAAATCCCCGATGCATAAATTGTACCCAAACTGCTAACTTTATTCTTGCGTCATTCCATAAGTTTTCCATCAAATTTTGTGTTTTTGGTATCATTACTTCAGAAAAAGATTTTCTACCATTTCAGATTTTTTTTTTTTATATTGTGACACTGTCAACACTCTTAATTTTGAGAGTTGCAACAGTGAACGGGTTAATGCTGGAAGAGGAAATGCACCCATTATTTCCTCTTCCAGCAGTTCTCATGGACATTTTGTATAACAAGCCTCACATGGTATACCTGGAGTTTACCTGGAGAGAGTTTCGGAGTCAAGCCCCCCACGCCGTCTGTGACAGGCCTCTGGTGGATCAGACCCTGATCAACCAGGCTTTAATGTTGGCTTGCACGCAAACCCAACGTACGAGCCACAGCCGGCTGGTCGGGAAAACTGACTTTAGGCCTTGTCCAGTGCCAGCTTTGAAACTGCCAAGGTCCTGTTGTAATTCCCGTATGTATGCTGGGGGGCAGTTGAACAGTTCGGCCCCCTGACACTTATTGTATGGTCTCTTAACGTGCTAGTGACACCCCTGCTTTCTTGGTGGAATATAAGAGTCTGTGAGAATTATGTATCCATTATAAAATAAGGTCTTAAACCCAAGGGATAATTAAGTTTTTAAAAAATTTATGGTCTCCAATTGAAAGCTAACACTGTATATCTAGAGGGCGTGTTCCGGGGTCAACGCCCTTTTTGCCTGGTCCCATGACAGCCAGGCCCTGACACATTGGCAACTGGCCTGTCAACCAGGTTTTTATACTGCAGCCTAAGAATCTTCTTAATATAAATACAAAGCAGATTAATACGACAAAGGGTCAATTAAGCAATACTTCTTATAATAAAATATAAATAAGTAATAAAATTTTACAAGCAAGCCCATGTACAAGGTATACACACCATAGCTGAATCGTGAACATGGACCCCCGCATAACGATTACCTACCGATTGCGACCCAATTATGTAAGTGCGTTTGTACTGTAATGTTTGCGGGGTCTGAAATGGACAATTACTTCACAATAATCCTTATGGAATAAATTCAGTCAGTACTGGCACACTGAACATACTTATGGAGTGAAAAAATATCGTTAACCGGGTCCACTGTACTACTATATAGAAAGCTGCTTGTTATGCAGAGCATTTTGGGCAAATTAGGTCAGTTTTGTCCCAGGATGCAACCCACACCAGTCAACTAACACCCAGGTACCCATTTTACTGATGGGTGAATATAGACAACCAGTGGAAACACACCCAATGTTTCTAACCTCGCTGGGAATCAAACCCAGACCCTTGCCATGTGAAGCGAGAGCTTTAACCACCAGGCCACAAATGAAATTGTCTGAAATTGATGTGGTTGGGCAGCAAACACTTTTTTGCTGTAGAAATTATCATCACATCAGCCACAATAATGCAATAAAAAGAATAGTAATGACTCAGTGAATGACAAGGTGAGAGTGAGTGACTGAGACATTGTAAGTAAGTAAGTTTATTCAGGTATACACAAATACAGTTGCATAGAATTATCATACATAGCAGCACATGTGTAGAGAACCTGGGATAACCCAAAAATGTCAGAGTGACTTATTTCCATTGGGGTAACTGGTTGTTGCCTGGCTGACACTACTACCCAGTCTGCCATCGATCTTTCCATCAATATTTACCATTCTAGGTTAAATCAGGTTAAATGATAAAAGACAGTGAGGTGTGTCCTAGTGTTGGTTGGTGGTGGTGAGGCTGCAACTAGTGACCAACCACTGCCAGGTCACATCATTATTATTATGATTATTTATTAGTAAAATTACTTTTGTAGTTATGACAGACATGTCAATAAATAACAGTTTCCATAACAAATAAATGTTTCCTGGACAGGCACACCAATTTTGCAAGATTTTGAAAAGAAATAGTGCTGAATTAGGACCAGGGAATCTTATCAATAATAACCATACAGTACCTTAATGTACAGTATTTCTTTTCAATACCCTATTTTCTGGTTTTTGCTTCACCTGACCTGTTTTCTGACTTTCTCCTCACCTCTTCACATAACTTCTTATTGTCTCCAATTTTCTCGTTTGGTCATGACTTTGACGGTCCAAGACAGACATCATCTAAAGTTTCCACTCCAAATACTGGACTGATCATAATTATTCCAGCTAGGTTATAGACTTTTATTCTTCATAGGCCTTCCACAGAATAAGTAAGTTTATTTAGGCACAGGTACACATTAGGACTCCAACGGAAATAAGTCACTTTGACTTTTTTTTTGTTATCCTACGTATCTACACATATACTGCTATGTATGATAACTTATGTAACTATTTGTGTGTACCTGTACCTGAATAAACTTAATAATTATCAAACATAATGTAAATTACCTAGGAAATAACTCCACAATTCAAAGTGACTTATTTCCATTGAGATTATTTAGTTTATAATTCCCAGAGGGTCAGAAACCTTGGTCAATCTGGGATTAATTCTGGAGTGAGTGGAAAGTTAGGTATATTTCCTTATGCTGCCTGGTGCCCCCCTTCACCTAACCATAAGTAGGTAACTGAATATTAGGTGACGACTGCACGTCACATACTAAGTAAGAGGACCATAAGACCTCAGTGTAAAATATGCCACACTGCTTGACTTTCTTGAGCTATCCTGGGTAGAAGATTTTGTTCATGTTAAGCTTTTAAGTTGTCTCCCCCAGGATGCAACCCTCACCAGCTGACTAACACCCAGGTACCTACTTACTGCTAGGTGAATAAGTTCCCTCACCCTTGATAAAACAATAAGTTAATTTAGGTACATCAAGCTTTCAATATTGACAATGGTCTTACATATGTGTAAATTACCCAGGATAACCACCAAAAAAAGTCAATTAAGTTTACTCAGGTACAGGTATACATAAATAGTTACATAAATCACCATATATAGTAACATATGTGTAGATTACTTAGGATAACCCAAATAAAAGTTAGTAACTTTGGGGTCCCCAATTGAGGACCCCAAAGAAATTCAAGGACCCAAATGGAAATAAATAACTTTGACCTGGGGGGGGGGTTATCCTAGGTAATTTACACTATGTATGATAATTATATAGTATATTTATAGGTAAATCATGTTAGTGTTGCATGTGGTTGTTGTAGAAGACTCAAGTATTGTATATCTCAGGTGTGACTACATTACTAACATCAATATTAATGAGCACACATAATCACCATCATCAACACATCATTATTGTAGTGATAAAGACCAAACTGGAGACCAAACTGGAGACCAAAATGTAACAATTACCAGAGTGAGGCTGGAGGTGCACGTGTGGTGGTCCAGCAGCTGCAACTGTGTGCTCTAAACCCTCACTCAACTCTCACCATCAAACACTAGTCTTATTTAGACTTTTATTTAGTCTTGGTGATGACTGGTGTGTTCATTAGGGAAGTTATTAATGTAGATGGTCTAGTAGTCTTACTAAGCTCACTATAATCAACACTTAACTAACTTATACTTACCGGCCTTAACATACTACACGTACTTCAAATTTAAATAATTAAAATTATAGCACAATTTTACATTATATATATATTATATATATATAATATATATATATATATATATATATATATATTAAATTTATATATAATATATATATATATATATTATATATATACATAAACGTGAGATTCATCATACATACTCTTACAAGTAGTTATGGATGTTATAAGTAATAAGTAAAATAAGCAAGACATATCCTTAATGGAAATAAATAAATAAATAAATAGAAATAAGTCACTCTGTCTGACTTTTTTGGGTTATCCTAGGTTCTCTACACATATGCTGCTATGTATGATAATTCTATGTAACTGTATTTGTGTATATCTGAATAAACTTACTTACTTACTTACTTACTTATCCTGCCTCTTATCATTTTGCTGTGTAAGTGGTTCCAGTTGTAAGTTCCTCTCTTCCATGTGCGGGTTACTTGTATATTGTTCCAGTCACGATATTGTGCCTTTTTTTGTTATTTACAACCCCAACTATGGTGGTAATGTTGCTGGCTACAACCCCAACTATGGTGGTAATGTTACTGGCTACAACCCCAACTATGGTGGTAATGTTACTGGCTACAACCCCAACTATGGTGGTAATGTTACTGGCTACAACCCCAACTATGGTGGTAATGTTACTGGCTACAACCCCAACTATGGTGGTAATGTTACTGGCTACAACCCCAACTATGGTGCTAATGTTACTGGCTACAACCCCAACTATGGTGCTAATGTTACTGGCTACAACCCCAACTATGGTGCTAATGTTGCTGGCTACAACCCCAACTATGGTGCTAATGTTGCTGGCTACAACCCCAACTATGGTGCTAATGTTGCTGGCTACAACCCCAACTATGGTGCTAATGTTGCTGGCTACAACCCCAACTATGGTGCTAATGTTGCTGGCTACAACCCCAACTATGGTACTAATGTTGCTGGCTACAACCCCAACTATGGTGGTAATGTTACTGGCTACAACCCCAACTATGGTACTAATGTTACTGGCTACAACCCCAACTATGGTGCTAATGTTGCTGGCTACAACCACAACTATGGTGCTAATGTTGCTGGCTACAACCCCAACTATGGTGCTAATGTTACTGGCTATAACCACAACTATGGTGCTAATGTTACTGGCTACAACCCCCAACTATGGTGCTAATGTTACTGGCTATAACCACAACTATGGTGCTAATGTTGCTGGCTACAACCCCAACTACGGTGCTAATGTTACTGGCTATAACCACAACTATGGTGCTAATGTTGCTGGCTACAACCCCCAACTATGGTGCTAATGTTACTGGCTATAACCACAACTATGGTGCTAATGTTGCTGGCTACAACCCCAACTACGGTGCTAATGTTACTGGCTATAACCACAACTATGGTGCTAATGTTGCTGGCTACAACCCCAACTACGGTGCTAATGTTACTGGCTATAACCACAACTATGGTGCTAATGTTGCTGGCTACAACCCCCAACTATGGTGCTAATGTTACTGACTATAACCACAACTATGGTGCTAATGTTGCTGGCTATAACCACAACTATGGTGCTAATGTTGCTGGCTATAACCACAACTATGGTGCTAATGTTGCTGGCTATAACCCCAACTATGGTGGTAATGTTGCTGGCTACAACCCCAACTATGGTGCTAATGTTACTGGCTACAACCACAACTATGGTGCTAATGTTACTGGCTATAACCACAACTATGGTGCTAATGTTGCTGGCTATAACCACAACTATGGTGCTAATGTTGCTGGCTATAACCCCAACTATGGTGGTAATGTTGCTGGCTACAACCCCAACTATGGTGCTAATGTTACTGGCTACAACCACAACTATGGTGCTAATGTTACTGGCTATAACCACAACTATGGTGCTAATGTTGCTGGCTACAACCCCAACTATGGTGGTAATGTTGCTGGCTACAACCCCCAACTATGGTGGTAATGTTGCTGGCTACAACCCCAACTATGGTGGTAATGTTACTGGCTATAACCACAACTATGGTGCTAATGTTGCTGGCTACAACCCCAACTATGGTGGTAATGCTGCTGGCTATAACCACAACTATGGTGCTAATGTTGCTGGCTACAACCCCAACTATGGTGGTAATGTTGCTGGCTACAACCCCCAACTATGGTGGTAATGTTGCTGGCTACAACCCCAACTACGGTGCTAATGTTACTGGCTATAACCACAACTATGGTGCTAATGTTGCTGGCTACAACCCCAACTATGGTGCTAATGTTGCTGGCTACAACCCCCAACTACGGTGCTAATGTTACTGGCTATAACCACAACTATGGTGCTAATGTTGCTGGCTACAACCCCAACTATGGTGGTAATGTTGCTGGCTATAACCACAACTATGGTGCTAATGTTGCTGGCTACAACCCCAACTACGGTGCTAATGTTACTGGCTATAACCACAACTATGGTGCTAATGTTGCTGGCTACAACCCCCAACTATGGTGCTAATGTTACTGACTATAACCACAACTATGGTGCTAATGTTGCTGGCTATAACCACAACTATGGTGCTAATGTTGCTGGCTATAACCACAACTATGGTGCTAATGTTGCTGGCTATAACCCCAACTATGGTGGTAATGTTGCTGGCTACAACCCCAACTATGGTGCTAATGTTACTGGCTACAACCACAACTATGGTGCTAATGTTACTGGCTATAACCACAACTATGGTGCTAATGTTGCTGGCTATAACCACAACTATGGTGCTAATGTTGCTGGCTATAACCCCAACTATGGTGGTAATGTTGCTGGCTACAACCCCAACTATGGTGCTAATGTTACTGGCTACAACCACAACTATGGTGCTAATGTTACTGGCTATAACCACAACTATGGTGCTAATGTTGCTGGCTACAACCCCAACTATGGTGGTAATGTTGCTGCTACAACCCCAACTATGGTGGTAATGTTGCTGCTACAACCCCAACTATGGTGGTAATGTTACTGCTATAACCACAACTATGGTGCTAATGTTGCTGGCTACAACCCCAACTATGGTGGTAATGCTGCTGGCTATAACCACAACTATGGTGCTAATGTTGCTGGCTACAACCCCAACTATGGTGGTAATGTTGCTGGCTACAACCCCCAACTATGGTGGTAATGTTGCTGGCTACAACCCCAACTACGGTGCTAATGTTACTGGCTATAACCACAACTATGGTGCTAATGTTGCTGGCTACAACCCCAACTATGGTGCTAATGTTGCTGGCTACAACCCCCAACTACGGTGCTAATGTTACTGGCTATAACCACAACTATGGTGCTAATGTTGCTGGCTACAACCCCAACTATGGTGGTAATGTTGCTGGCTATAACCACAACTATGGTGCTAATGTTGCTGGCTACAACCCCAACTATGGTGGTAATGTTGCTGGCTACAACCCCCAACTATGGTGGTAATGTTGCTGGCTACAACCCCAACTACGGTGCTAATGTTACTGGCTATAACCACAACTATGGTGCTAATGTTGCTGGCTACAACCCCAACTATGGTGCTAATGTTGCTGGCTACAACCCCCAACAACGGTGCTAATGTTACTGGCTACAACCCCCAACTATGGTGCTAATGTTGCTGGCTATAACCACAACTATGGTGGTAATGTTGCTGGCTACAACCCCCAACTACGGTGCTAATGTTAATGGCTATAACCACAACTATGGTGCTAATGTTGCTGGCTACAACCCCAACAATGGTGGTAATGTTGCTGGCTACAACCCCAACTATGGTGGTAATGTTACTGGCTACAACCCCAACTATGGTGCTAATGTTACTGGCTACAACCCCCAACTATGGTGGTAATGTTACTGGCTACAACCCCAACTATGGTGCTAATGTTGCTGGCTACAACCCCAACTATGGTGGTAATGTTGCTGGCTACAACCCCAACTATGGTGGTAATGTTGCTGGCTACAACCCCAACTATGGTGCTAATGTTACTGGCTACAACCCCAACTATGGTGCTAATGTTACTGGCTATAACCACAACTATGGTGGTAATGTTACTGGCTACAACCCCAACTATGGTGCTAATGTTGCTGGCTACAACCCCAACTATGGTGGTAATGTTGCTGGCTACAACCCCAACTATGGTGCTAATGTTGCTGGCTACAACCCCAACTACGGTGCTAATGTTACTGGCTATAACCACAACTATGGTGCTAATGTTGCTGGCTACAACCCCAACTATGGTGCTAATGTTGCTGGCTACAACCCCCAACTACGGTGCTAATGTTACTGGCTACAACCCCCAACTATGGTGATAATGTTGCTGGCTATAACCACAACTATGGTGGTAATGTTGCTGGCTACAACCCCCAACTACGGTGCTAATGTTACTGGCTATAACCACAACTATGGTGCTAATGTTGCTGGCTACAACCCCAACTATGGTGCTAATGTTGCTGGCTACAACCCAAACTATGGTGCTAATGTTGCTGGCTACAACCCCAAATATGGTGCTAATGTTACTGGCTACAACCACAACTATGGTGCTAATGTTACTGGCTATAACCACAACTATGGTGCTAATGTTACTGGCTATAACCACAACTATGGTGGCAATGTTGCTGGCTACAACCACAACTATGGTGGTAATGTTGCTGGCTACAACCCCCAACTATGGTGCTAATGTTGCTGGCTACAACCCCAACTATGGTGCTAATGTTGCTGGCTACAACCCCAACTATGGTGCTAATGTTACTGGCTACAACCACAACTATGGTGGTAATGTTGCTGGCTACAACCCCAACTATGGTGCTAATGTTGCTGGCTACAACCACAACTATGGTGCTAATGTTGGTGGCTACAACCACAACTATGGTGGTAATGTTACTGGCTACAACCCCAACTACGGTGCTAATGTTGCTGGCTACAACCCCAACTATCGTGCTAACGTTGCTGGCTA